GGGGAGTCTCCACCCTGAGAGATGTCCCCACTCTGAGGGGCGTCCCCGTGCCAAGAGACATCCCACCCCAGGGATGTCCCACCTCAGGGATGTCCCACCCCAGGGATGTCCCACCCAAGGCACACGACCGCCCCAGCTGAGGCCTGGGGATGTTCCCAGTGCCGGCTGCAGCCCCCCACGCTCCCACTGCCGTCCCCTGGAGCGTGGCCGGGGTCCCCACGCCCGTGTCCCCCCAGGTGTGGTCCCACTACGAGGAGACGCCGGTGGAAGAGGTGGTGCCGGTGCTGGAGGAGAAGGAGCGCGCGGCCAACTACAAACCCGTGTTTGTCACCGAGATCACCGACGACCTCCACTTCTACGTGCAGGACGTGGAGACGGGTACGGGGGGACACTTGGGCCCCCCCAGACCCGGCACGGCGGGGGCCAGCGGGACGGGATGGGGGTTTGTGGCTTTGGTGGGTAACGCCCAAACCTGGGTGTCCAGGGGGGGTCACCTCTCCTCCCCCCAGGGTGGGGGTCCATGGGTGGGATCCATTTTGGGGTCCAGAGGTTTGGGTCTTGCGGCAGGGGCTGAGCTCCAGGTTTGGGATTTACCCCTGGAGTCATCGTTGGGGTTCAGGCTCCAGGGCCGCACTGGGGAGCGGGGCTGGGGTCAGCTTTGGCACGGGACCGGGGTTTATCGGGGATCGGGACCCCGCAGGCGCCCAGCTGGAGAAGCTGATGGAGAACATGCGCGCCGAGGTGGGCACCCACCCGCCCGTGGAGGGCTCCTTCGCCCCGCGCCGCGGTGACTTCTGCATCGCCAAGTTTGTCGACGGGGAATGGTGAGGAGGGCACGGGGCTGGGCCAGGGCAGCAGCGGGGCGTGGGCTGAGCACCAAACCCCAAATCACACCCTGCAGGTACCGCGCACGCGTGGAGAAGGTGGAGTCGGGCGGGAAAGTGCACATCTTCTACATTGACTACGGCAACGTGAGTGGCACCGGGACACGGGGGGGAAAACAGCCTGCCTTCCATGGATCCCTCTGTCCATGGATCCATCTATCCATCCATGGATCCACCCGTCCTTCCATGGATCCACCCATCCATCCATGGATCCACCCATCCATCCATGGATCCATCTGTCCTTCCATCCATCCATGGATCCATCTGTCCATGGATCCGCCTATCCATCCATGGATCCATCCATCCATCCATCCTCCATCCATCATCCATCCATCATCCATCCATCATCCATCCATCCATCATCCATCATCCATCCATCATCCATCCATCCATCATCCATCCATCCGTCCATCCATCCATCCATCCATCATCCATCCATCATCCATCCATCCATCCATCCATCATCCATCCATCCATCCATCCATCCATCATCCATCCATCCATCCATCCATCCATCCATCCATCATCCATCCATCCATCCATCATCC